TAGATACTTGAGCTTTTGAGGGAGTTTGTCTATTCTTCCCATTCAATCAAATCTATCCCAAGTACAGCAACATGACAGCCCTTCGTTTAATCAGGGTCTTCCCTAAAACTTTGGACAGTGATTTAAGGTATTAAAAGCGGTGAAAGTATGTTCGTCTCCAAATAGTATTGTTTACATTGTTTTCGATTTGATAGCCTCATTTGTCATGCAATTAGTTTTTCTGCAATATTCTGCTATGCACTGGTTAATTGGGCATAATAAAATCATGAGTCATGACGTAACGTTATGTAAACATATTTGGTCCAATTTGTAGCTCTGTTTTAAGCGTAATGCTTTTGTAACCCAGTCAGGAATTGATTGTTAATCGGACCATTGACCAGTCATAATTTGGAACAGAAATTTGCTTCCATTAAAGCAGTGTTTAGTGGGATTAGCTCTAATCAAACGAAACACTGCGAGGAGTATGTAGCAAGTTACATTTCCTAGAAATATCTTCTTCCTCGGTGCAAATATAGTCCAGTCACGACAAACAGAACATCCAATAAACTAATTAGTGAGCAATTCCATAAAGCCAAATGCCACCTGTCAGACACAAAACCTTTGTTATTTTGTCTGGTACTGAAGTGTCCTTTAATTCAAGGCATTATTAATATTTTTAATACAAAATGAAATGAAATGGGGTTTAACGTCCTACTGTTCTGCTCTGACTGGGCTAATGAAGACGGGCATACGCCATACAGTGTGCTATGAGGGAAATTGTGCCCGGACAGCAGCATTCAGCCTATTCTTATATCGAGTTTCAACTGCCAAAGGATCTTTTACGTGCACGCCAATTTGTACGCAGTACCTCATTCTTTTGTCCCAACTAAACAACTGTACGCTGCTCAGCATCTTGTTCTGCAATCTTATTAGTGGAAATGTTCTGACCTATGTACATGTAGCTTAAAGCTTGTTATATTTTTCTCTCAGTGCAATCTCTGTTAATGTTTTTGTCCACATCAATACTAAGAACATGGCGTACTCTATTAATGTATTCTAAGTGTGGTATTTTTAAATCAATCATTTCTAATGAAAAAGCTTGAACAATGTTTATTACAGCGTCTGCTCGGCTTCCAGGTTGCCATCTTTGAACCAAACACTGACATTTTAATTGCTTAAAATAATCCAGACCAAACAATTTTCACCACAAAGTTTCGATTACGGATGGAACATGCACTATGATTATAAAATTGTTGAAACCTGCTTCAGATCACAAGATTTTTTGTTGTTGTAAAATCCCACAATCTATGCCTTATAATCAGTCAAGAACATGTCCATTAAATGTCAGTACAACTAGAAGAGTTATTTACGTCCAATCACATTAAACATACATTATGCAAGAGCTAAATCTGCCTATTGCAGGTCTTTCTTTGGGCCTGAAATGTTATATAAATTATCAATTAGACATTAATTAACTTATCCAAACCATAATCAACTCTCAATGTCATCTTATGTGTCGGATTTTCACTGATGATTTCCAAAAATGAAATGTTATATAAATTATCAATTAGACATTAATTAACTTATCCAAACCATAATCAACTCTCAATGTCATCTTATGTATCGGATTTTCACTGATGATTTCCAAAAATGGATAATCGAGACTATGTTTTTTATTGTACCGACTTTAGTAATGATGATTGAGGCTAGCCTAAAATTCAAAATTTAATATCTCGGTACTGACTGAATTTGACTGAAATTTTCAACATATTTACGTTATCTATTTTTGAACTATTATTGCGAGAACAGTCAACTCTTTATCTTATCTCCGATAAAGCCTCTTTAAATTTCAAACTGAGCGAAAGTAAAGGTAGCCACATATGGACCCAATTGCGTCAATCATAACAATATTACTATATATTAATGATAATGTAGTTGGTTATTTTCCACACAGCATGCTTTAATAAAGCAACAGGGTGTGTAATCACCCAATTTAATCACAACTTTTACAAAATAATCAACTCATAAATTAAATTATTGAAGTATGGGAGTCGATTTGACGGACAGGTCCAGATTGTAATTTGATCAAATATGTCACTTCACTATAATGTGATTTCTAACTATAATAATGCGATTTCTGCCATTCGATATCAATTTGTTTTGATATCCAGACTCAAATTTGTGACTAGCAGTAAACTGCGACTTTCACGTCTGGAAATAAGGCATCAGTCACAGAAATGACAGGCACAAATTCATGCACAATCATTCAGGCTCTAGACGTTTTATTTGGCAGTGGGAGCCACGGTGGCTAAGTGGGCAAGATGTTGGCTCACTAGTCTGGAGGTCGCGGGTTCGATCCCGGTGTTGGCCGAGAATGTTCATCAGGATTTTTCGACGTGGTTTCTTCCTATCAGTGGTGCATGATGGAGGACCTGACAAGGACAGCTGTCTAGTTGTTCAGATGGACCCAAAAAAAAGTTCCCATGTACACATTGGCGTGCCCGTAAAAGATCCCTTGGCAGTTGCAATTTGATTAAGAGTAGGCTGTAGCCTCGCTTTCCGGGCAAAATTTGCCTCATAGCACACTGTATGACGTATGCCTGTCTTCATTAGCCCTGTTCGGAGCAGAACAGTAGGACGTTAAACCCCATTTCATTTCATTTTTTTCACCACTGATTTGTCTTTTTTGAATATTTTTTATTGATATCATTTATTAATGCACAGAGTGCAGTAGGTGGGACTAAAACCAATATTTCCAGACCTGGTGGCGTAAATTAATCGTGTACATTGAGAAGTGATGCAGGGTGTTCTAGAGAGTAAACATACTAGGCTTAAGGCTGGACATACAGAGAGAGAGAGAGAGATGGGGTTTTACGTCCACTCGACACAAACTAGGCCATTTTGGGACTAACATATGGTTTTAATTTTATTTTAATAATTTGCTTGCGTGTAGGGGGTCTTTAGCAGTTGGAGGTGGGAGGAAACCGGAGGACCCGGAGAAAACCCAGGAGGTTGGACAGGCGACCCTACTCCTTGTCATGTACAACCGGGGATTCGAAACCACGCCAGTTGAGGCTGGACAAGCACCTCTATTCAATAAAATAATAGTTTGGACTACAGTTTCCCTAATCTTTACTCGATCAACCTTCCAAAAATACTTTGAATAAAGTAGAATTTATGTCGGCTTCTGTAAGATCTGATTCAATCTGTACTTAATAACACGTGAGTGTTATTTTTACCTAGGGAATGCATTAAAGTTGAATGTGGCGGTGCAATAACACATATCTGCCGAGTAGATTCCCTAATGAAATGGAGTAAAAATTGTCTGGTCGACAGAAATAATCTGTACCTGTCCGAAGCATTGATTAAAAGAACATTAAAATATGGGGGTTAGTAATTGAGTCACAAAAGATCCGACAATATTTATGCTTTCTGTCGTCAAATTTCTCTCCAGTCTAAAAAGTAATAAATTACAAGGCAGCTTAGTGCATTTCGTTTATATTTCTGAAATGCAAAAACAACACTGAGCAGACACAATCTTCTAAGCTTTTGTTTCCAGGGAGATCAAGAGAACGAAAGACTAAAGAAGAAGTTGTAAAATATGGGATTGTGAAACTGTAGCAGTTCTGGCTGGATATAGATTTATGCTTTATGTCGGTTGGCTAATGACGGGAGCTGGGAGTCGAGTAGGTCGTAAAGTTCACGAGTGACACTAGAGAAAATATCAGGTACTGTCACCTGCCTGTACAATGACTTTAATTCTGTCAAAATACGAGGACCTCATATATTACATTAGTCATGTGCAATCCTGACTCGAGTAGTACTATTCATCGATCCAACTCTTAAATCATTCGTTACGTTTACAACTTTTAAACATAAATATTGCTCAAGGAGTGTTTGAAGTTCGTCAATTTTTCAATTTTGATATTGCCTACTGTCAATCGGTTCTAAAAGATAAAAGCAGATGGCTTAAGTATCATGTTTAAAAATTAATAATAAATTTGAAAAAACTGTCAAAAATAATTTATGATGTTGACTACCTATATTTGTTGAATTTTTATGAGGTACGAACCTTTAATGGCATCAAAATATTGAAGATTAAATTGGATTTCAAAAGATTGCACAAGTACCATCTTTCAAATTTAATAATAAATTTTGAAAAACTGTCAGATTTAATTTATGACATATCTATATCACCAAAGTTTTATCAAAGTAAAAGTTTATTTTATTGTTGATACAAAACTATCGAAGATAAAATTTCGTTACCTGAGTATTTTTAAGAGAACTGACCTATTTGAAGGGTTGAATCGGGTTGGTGACTAGTAAAGGCGGCTGTAACCCGGGTATCATTTAATATTGTGTATTTAGCACTAATTTATTTCACATTCGTTTAATATCAAATCTTTGTTTAAAAATCATTTAAATTAACAAAATCATCTAATTTATCCAATTAAAAAGCATTTAATATACCGTCGTACTGACACTGTTCAAAAATTAAACATTATACATCAATAATCTATTGAGTTGTTTATTTTCAGTGATTGAGAAATTAAATAATTGGACACTCATTCTCAAAACTGAATGGTCAGCTTTAAACTGGATACCAGTACAAATTAGAAGTTTTTTGTTGATTTTAAACAAATTTTTAAACAAGGATTTGATATTGAATGAATGTGAAAGAAATTATTACTAGATACACAAGATTAAATGATACCTGGGTTATACTGTCAATTAAAACAATGTCCTACATCATCTGTAGATATAATTCCTGATTGCAGAGTGTTAGCCATATTTCAAAACACTGATTAATTAAATTAATAATTTCTTTTTTAGGCAGATTCAAAATGGTTGTTTATTTGGGGGAGAAGGGGGGGGCTAATTTTGTGTCCTCTTTTGGGAATGTGTACCGTATAAAATGGTAAAGTCTGTCTCTACTACTGTATTGTTTTTTCTGTCCTTGTTTTTATTTTACAGGTATGCTGCATCATCTATTAAAATATTGTAAAAATAAAACAACTTACCTGTATCATGGAGTTTGGCACCTGATTCACAAGATTCTAAATTCATCATGGCTAAAACCGAGTTTAGTCCTGTTAAAATCGTTATCACATAAAACAAAGCCATGGTAGAATGTCTTTGCTTTAATACACACCACAAAATATCCTTTAACGGATTATTATCCAATTTTCACAAAAATAAAAAGAATTCTTTTTCTGTCTCTTTTTTTGAGCCTAAAATCCTTTTCTAGGTCAAGGGATTATTATCCAATTTGCACAAAAGTAAACAGAATTCGTAGCTTTTCTTCTCTTCCTGTCTATTTTTTATTTTTCCACACTAAAATCTTTTTTTTCTACTCTAAAATCTTGTTAAATCCAATGAGTGCCGAACTGAGAAAAGTAGTCCACTCCATAGAGGCAATGATCTGTAAAAGAAAATAGTGATTAAGAAGTTACAGTTAGCAGAATAAGAAATCCTTAAGGAATAGAATAGACTTCAAATTTCATCAATCAAAACAGAATGGAAGTAAAGAACCTGAACAAGTTAAGTGCCTTCAGGCCAACAAAAGCAAGATTAGAAATTCTTGGCTAAATGAAACATGCTTGCCAATCTTCACTTTTTACTCTACATTTCGCACATCAGGAAGGGCAATCGTTATCTTGACTAGTTAAGTTGGTTAGTTAGAAGAAAATAACAAAAAATACAACACCTACATGGTCGAAACTAAAAACACGATAGTATTCAATCAAGCCGGCATGCATACTTTGAATTTATGGAAGTGTTTAAATAAGTAATGTGTTATTTACACGAAGGTATCAAAGTCAATAAATATATATGTGTATCTAGTATCAAAGTTTCAATAAAACTATGTACATAAAATAAAACCCATCTTAGATCTACTTAGAACTACTGAAGGTAAAAAGTAGTAAAAATTCTCAAGTCGTATATGATCATGGTGAATTATTAAGAAGACGATCAGGTATTCATGTTTCATGCGACTCCCATTTTTGTGTCTCAATATTTCATTGTTGTTGAAGATTTTGTCTTACTCATTGGTTTTAATCTTAAATCCCTAACCCTGAATTTATAGGTTTTAATCTTAAATACCGGACCCTAACCCTAACCCTAAAATGTAGACGTGATGGAATGTAAAAGTGATGGAAATAGAAAAGGGATTTGTATCAAACATGATCGCCGACGCTCCTATTTGATTCAGGTAAAAAATTAAACAAAAGTGCAATAATGAACTGATCAAATGAGTTAGTGCCAAAATTGATGAGCCAAACTATATGCCAATAAATTTTATATCTAGTCAAGTATAAAGCCGTTTTGTTTACTAAATTCAGTTTAAGTTTTTCACTCAAATTGACATAATGAGATCAAAATCGGTTAGATCCCAACATTTGATAATCTGAGGACCTAACATTTGGAATTTTATAAGATAGTTCCAAAATGAATAAACACACCAATTTTAACTAAATTAACACCTTCATTTGTTCAACTAAAATCAAAGGAATCATCTACCTGTATGTTAATGATAAAACCTGTACTTACCTTTATACACAAATCTGTAGAGCCCTACTCCCTAATCTCACGTTTATATAAAGTCACACACTCCGATAAATCCACAACAGATTATAATTGTAGCTTAGTTTAGACACATGAATAATGAACTGAAAATAATTTGTTAAACTTCACACTAACGGCCAGAGATTTATCCATGAATTTTCCCTGTCATACTGCTTCAAAGCCCTGTCTGCTTTCAGCTAATATGTTGATCCTTCAACAGGCTAGCTAATACTGACTGTGAGATGGTGTGTGAAAGAGAGGCCCTGTGTGTGCTTGCTATGGTCGTGGTGATACAGGCTGTCTGCTTGTAGACTTGGTTCACTGGTCTCAAATCTCACATCTAAAAGGAAATAGACAAAAGGAATTTAATAAGTGATTTATTCTTCTACTTGGCTTCAGTCTGTCCCTCCCTCTCTGTCACACTGTAGTATATCAGGGGAACACCATTATATTGACATTTCAAAGCAAGGGATCTTGTAAATTATCATTTTAAGACAAAGGAGAAGGGTTCAAGTGATCACCCGTAATCTCTTCTTAGAAAAAAAATTTATTAGTCCTTCCAATACTCCAGGTCATGTAAACAATATGAATTGATAGCCTGTGCAAGTATAAAAATAAATTACACTCCTACAATTTGAATAACAGACAAAAGTTGTGGCTCCTAAAATGACCAAGTACCAGTAATAAAAAAGAAGAAAATAAAATCTCGAACTAGAATATTGTCAACTACACAGTTGTCTTATCATCTGCAGAAATGAAATGAAAGCTAAAACCCATTATTTGTCCAGTTTTCAATTTTGTGATGTTATATACAGTTTGGAAACAACTTCCAGAATTATACAGTCCATTTCTTATATTCAACATTTGTAATAATGACCTCTCCTAATGACCATCAAATTTCAAGTCAATATATAGCTTTATTGTTGAATTACGGCAATGAACATGTCCCAAAAATAGCCATTTTTATGTGTTATGCTGTCTTACTGCAATTCATTATATCTTGCAACTCAAATTAATATATTTTTTGTGACTTGTTTTGGAAAGGATATAAATGCATGCTTGTAGAACACGTCCTATAATAAATTTTGGTATTTGAATTACAAATAGACAGTGTATTAAAAGGGAGTTATGACTAAATTACAGAAACCGTCCAGAAAAAAAAAACTTATTCCAACAAAGAAGGTTCGGATGTGGATCCGTCAGACTAAAACTATGTCATTTCCATTGAATGTCAGCGCGCAAGATTTTATTATGTATGTTACAAATTCTACATCTAATTATAATTGCAGCAATATATCGGTTAATTATGTATGTCACACAAGTCTACATCTAATTATTAATATAGTTTGCTGGGATATCCTTTCACAAATCACTATTATTTTAAATTATTACAATGAATGTATTACACTTTGTATAAAAATATTTTAGAAAATTCTGTACGTTTATTAAACATCTAATTGAAATGAAATAAAATTGGGTTTAACGTCCTACTGTTCTGCTCCGAACTGGGCTAATGAAGACGGGTATATGCCATACAGTGTGCTATGAGGGAAATTTTGCCTGGGCAGCAGTGCTATGAACTACTCTTATATTTGTATACAATTTGTTCGTGTCTTTGTAAAGTTGTGTATCTTTGTATAATTATGTTTCATGTATATTTCTATTATTTTTATTTGTATATGCACATAACCTTGTCAAGTTTTTTTTGTGCAATAAAGTTTCTTCTTCTTTTGTAAGTATATGGGAGTGATAATGCCTCTTTAAAAGGTCAATTCACTATGCTTCACTTTCATTTTCACCATTTTATGATTTATGTATTTCAATTGGCCTATAGAGATCAACAATATAATAATTTTAATCTCGGTAATATTACATATCTGTCTTGTTGACCAAGATATGTTTAAAAGAATACTGACCATAAAATATCTCATATTTAGTTACAATACAGTTTTCTTTGAAATAATCAGTCAAGATTATCTATATGATCATGAGAGTGGCCTTTTCTCACTTATTCCACGTCTCGGTAATATGACAAATTGCTGTCTGGATGTGCCATATGACCACGATATACCGACTTTGTGAAGTATGTCACCTTTATGATAAAATTGACACAAGATTAGGAGAGCAGACATCCTTATCATTCAAACTCTCTCCTTATCTCCCTTGATTGTCAACTCACTGATTTCCCTAATTTACTGGCTCATTGATAACACGTCCAGTCTGGAACGCTCTCCATCATTCTAGCTAAATATCCCCCCAGACAATGATACAATATAACTACCAGTAAATAGTTACACATACATGGTGATTTGAGAACAAAATGAAAATCAACACAGTAACTACCCCCTCGGTGCCCCGGCACACAGATGGACAATAGAAAGACAAACAGTGTATTTAGAGGTTGGCTTGAATATATAGACTCGTTTAACATGTGGAATTAATATGAGATCAAGTTTAAACAATTATATTATAGAGATGTACCTCCCACCTTGTCTACATGTTTATTCTAATCTTTTTTTGCTTTCTGGAGAGAGAAAGAGAGTGAGATGAAATGAAATGGGGTTTAACATCCTACTTTTCTGATCCTACTGGGCTGGCTAAGACAGGCTTATGTCACACCGTGGCCTACTCTTATATCAAATTCAAACTGCCAAGGGATCTTTTACATGCATGCCAATGTGTACACAGGACTTCGATTTTTCGTCCCATCCTAACAACTAGACAGCTGGCCGTTTCAGGCCATTTGTCATGCACCACTGACAAGGGGGAACACGCCAGAAAATCCTGATAAAACTTTCTTGGTCAAAACTGGGAGCGAACCCGAGACCTCCAGGCTAGTAAGCCAGTGTCTTACTCACTTAGCCACCGTGGTAATACAAATGTTGTTAGAAATGGTCCAGGCAAATTTTGATTTTAAATCGACCTTATACGTAATATTTTCTAGGAACTAGGTCCAAGTGATTTCGGGAGACCGTAAATTAGACTGTCCCTTGTTTGGCACTGTCTACGATATTCAGTCACACATCCTGTCAAACTTTCAAATGCTACTATCTTTGCTCGCAATAGAGTAATTTGAATGAAATTTTAAAATTATTCATTTTACATTATCTATTTTCGAATTATTATACCAAGAATGGCTAGCTCTTTATGTAAATCTTACATAATGTATCTTTAATGTTTCCCGCAAACCACCACGTTTATCAAGTATACCATTACAATACTCAATTTCTTAAAATTATTTGGCAACTAAAATGGCAATTGTTTATACAGTAAGCAAAGTTCTGGAGAGATAAACAAGGACCTGCAAGTAACAGAGTTTAAACTGTTAGGAATTTTTAAATTATGTTTATATTAAACAATTACTATGGTAACAGACCATTCAATGGCAACAAATTATACTGACCTCCATAAACACAATGCTTCTTTTTAACACATAATAAAATATAAGGCTCAAAGAATGAGAGAGAGAGAGAGAGAGAGAGAGAGAATTGGGGTTTATGTCCATTCCACAAGAATTTGCTTGCATGTAGGGTCTTTAGCAGTGGGAGGAAACCGAAAGACCCAGAGAAAAGCCACAAGGTTGGGAAGGCAACCCCACTGCTTGTCACGTACAACCCGGGAATTGAAACCACGCAGATGACTAAATGATAGACCTTATGATTCAACGCGCACACGCATTAACCATTCGGCCATCCAACCCCCCTTATTAGACTCAAAATTGCTATGATAGCTGCTGATTTTAAGAGCAGACACAAAATCTATTTAAATGTTTTAGGTATAAAATTGATGTATTAAACAGTTTTAAAGATGTCAGTGTGAAGTAAGAATCCTTTTAGCACATCCGGGGAGTAGTTATACGATGAAAACACATAAACTATTTACATTGAATGCGTAATTAGTCTGGTATTTTAGAGTAATAAATTAAACCAGTTTAATGGAATTTTGAGGGGTGTTTTTGGCAATATATAAGCGTAGAGATTCCAGACCAAACACAGAAATGAAATGAAATGGGGTTTAACGTCCTACTGTTCTGCTCCTACTGGGCTAATACAGCGTGCTATGATGGAAATTTTGCCTGGGCAGCGGCACTATGGCCTACTCTTATATAGAATTCCAACTGTCAATTAGGGATCTTTTACGTGCTCACCAATGTATACATGGGTCCTCAGTTTTCCTTCCCATCCGAATGACTAGACAGCTGTCCTTTTCAGGTCCTACGTGCTGCACCACTGACAGTGGGAAACCACGCCAATGCAGGGATCGAAAACGCGACTTCCAGACTAGCGAGCCAGCGTCTTACCCACTTAGCCAGCGTGGCTCCCACCAAACACAGTATAAATTTATATTAATTTATAACGTGCAGGGAAACAAATCATCAAACAATTCAAATGTACATGAATTCAGAATAAATAAGCATGAAGATCAAGACTCCGAAAATTACTAATAATTCAAAAGATTTATAAAAAGCAAATGTTTGGAAATAAGTGCCAACATCCCTAGAATCCCTCAAAATACTAAAATGCTTTAAGATGATAATAATTGGGTAGACTGATAAAATTGAATGACAGGACACCACAGAGATTACAGGCTCCCAAAAAAGACTTAACATTCTATAAATGATAATTGGACAAAAACAGAGATTCCAGACTTACAACCAGTGGTTTCCATGCAAGATACTCCCACATTTTGCAAGAGATGGATAGAGAACAAGCTAAAAAATAAAAAGTGATTTTTCGTACAATCATGGGGCATAATCCAGTAAGTTATGGTCTTAAATGCTTGAATATCAAAAGGAACTGAAAATTGTGACCTCTAACGGGTCCGCAACCTTCATATTAAATACTTTTACACTATTTGCATACAAGGAGTGGCCATTTTGTCGGGCAGTTTCGTTTCGATTTTCCCGAAATTTGAACCCAACCTTCATTATGGTGTAACAGTGATATATTTAAATACAAGGAGTGGCCATTTTGTCGGGCAGTTTCGTTTCGATTTTCCCGAAATTTGAACCCAACCTTCATTATGGTGTAACAGTGATATATTTAAATGGTTTTTAAAATCAGATAAAAATTATGACCAGCAGAGAATCCAAAACCTGTTAATGTGATTTTTCGTACAATCAAGGGTGAAAACAATATATGTCCACATAAAAATGTGGGCGTATAAAAATGATCAAACACACTATAAATTAATAATTCAGAAGGTGGGGGAAAAGTAAACGACTGGGCAATTTGACACGTACTGAGGAATAACTTCAGATTAATTAAACACAAACATAGACTAGAAAAAATACTAGGAACTATGTGAGTAATCTACATCATCATTGACTGAATTAGAAAT